ATATATATATACACATACATATATGTATATATATGTATCTATACATATATATATATATATATATATATATATATATATATATATATATATATATATATATATATATGTATATATATACATATATATATATAATCATGATAATTATATGAAATTAACAAGCATCTAAAATCTAAAAATAGTGCTAACACTCAGTTCACATTCTAATGTAAATGGTCAGTCACTAAAAAATACACTAAGAATTTCCTTCTTACCAGCCACAAGTACGAGAATAAACGCAAGTCGTAAGGCGTCCATTGTCACGTATCTTGGAAATGTTTACCAACAGTGGGATCCTCCTCGCTCCCATATCCCTTATATACACGAGACTTGGATTTCCCACGCCTATGGCACAACCTTGAGACAGGGGAAGAATGATATATCTATATATGTATATATATACATATACATACATATATATATATATATATATATATATATATATATATATATATATATATATATATATATATAAACATATGTATACACACATACACACACACACACACACACACACACACACACACACACACACACACACACACACACACATATATATATATATATATATATATATATATATATATATATATATATATATATATATATATACATATATATATATATATATATATATATATATATATATATATATATATATATATATATATATATATATATATATATATATATATATATATATATATATATATATATATATATATATATATATATATATATATATATATATATATATATATATATATATATATATATATATATATATATATATACATATATATATATATATATATATATATATATATATATATATATATATATATATATATATATATGTATGTATATGTATATATATACATATATATACATATATATATATATATATATATATATATATATATATATATATATATATATATATATATATGTACACGCACACACATACGCACACACACACACACACACACACACACACACACACACACACACACACACACACACACTATATATATATATAGATATATATATATATATATATATATATATACATATATATACACACAAATACACATTTTCCTACTTTAAGATTATATTACTTAATGAAAATTATTAGAAGTACTTATCAGAAGTGTTACTGTAACTCTAGTCCTTGGAGAATTCCAACATATGAGTAGGTTTATAATTAACAATTGAAGTTTCCTCACTGTCTGTCGATAATTTTAAGGGTTGTCATAAACTCGCTCTTTAATATTTGCCATATAACCCACTGAAACTGGAAGTTTATGGGTAAACCGAAATCCTTTTTGGTATAGGAATAGATATATATGTCTCTCTGCTTTAAAGGTACCCAAAGAAACATTTCTTTTATATTCACGATGTTGTTAAATGATTTATGAAGGTATGTCAACCACCAGTCTCCCTCATGTAATTTGTTACATTTACACATCCGGGAAAAATTGACAGACGGTTGAATATACTATAACATTTCATATCCATACGTGTTATCTTCATATAAATGTGTAACCATAATCCGCACTTCTCACCACCAGCATCGTCACCGAGCCTTAGCTGATAGTGCTCCTGCTGCCTTCGTACGCAAGATTCTTAGGGTATTAGTAAGTCCACTAACAAATTTGAAAACCCAAGGAAAATGAAGTATTGGTTATTGCCGCTGGGGCGTCTATGGGGAAAGACGAGAGACGAGGTCAGGCTTTACTCGGGGAAGAATGCAAAAGCCAGAGTGCCATACTAGACGCAGGGACCGCACCATGACCCTGAGTGAATCTGCTGTATCTTGAATAATCGCTGACTTTTCAGGGAAAGGGGTCACCTCGATCCCTCTTGAGTCCCCACCTAGATGTTGGCACCTTCCGGCACTTGGCTCCAAGAAGAGCCAGGGAGGACGCGGTCGTGGCGCGACACAGTAACAATTTTGTATGTAGACTGCCGCTCCAGACAAAAGATTAATGCATCTGTTATCTACAATGCATTCTGTAGAGGCTTATTTGCATTTCATTTAAGATGCAGAGGCTCTTCAAGGATCTGTGAAAATCCACTTCAACTTTTTGACTTAATTTCCTCCATGCGGTGGTACCTTCTTCATTATCCTTTTCTTGCTGTTCCTGCTTTAATCTCATCTTTTTCCTCGGTTTTGTCCTTTCGGCAACGAATGTTGTTTTTCCTGTTTTGTCTAAACATGAGTTTATTGTTTTAATCGAAGACTCAGATAAGATTCATAAGTAGAATATGCACTGCTGGCTTAATGACAGAAAAATGAAAATAGCTTGATATATATATATTTTTTTTTATACAAAAGAACCTTGACGAATAATATTGTTTGTTTATATAAGCATCAAACAAAATTTGTCTCATACAATTACTCCCTGCCCTACAAAGTTTAAGGTTATAGATAAAATTATTTAGATAAAATCTTAGATATCTTTTTTATTTATAAGATTGTCATTCTACACTATCTTTGCACTTATGAGTGGAACTATTATTACTTCCGAAATCTTTAGTAATTATCACACATTTAGCCAAATATGCAAAAATTTAATTACATAGACTTTCAGTTGTATCACCGGTAATTATTTCCAAGAACGCTTACAGAATCAGAGAGATAACACTGAAAAATTACATAGAGAGAAAAGCCTGAATTATAATGTAAAGTAACGATTTAACACGTGATTACTTAACTAACATGGTTGTGCAAAGTAAATAAAGCACCAAAGTGTGTGTCGGATGCGAGCCAGAATAGCCTCGGGAACGCCAGTCACTTCAAAGGTCGGAATGTAGCACGTGGAGATGGCACACACACACAAGCACACGCACACGCACACACACACACACTCACACTCACACACACACACACGCACACACACACACACACACACACACACACACACGCACGCACACACACACACACACACACACACGCACACAC